CATGAACAAATCCTCTTAAGTAGGGTATTTGTGGGGGGGATTAGAAAAGAACATTTATGACCATTCTGGTTTTCAAAACAACAAAAAGAAAAAAAAAGAAACCTTCCAAATATTGAACTAAATGGTTTTCAAAAGCCCCTGGGGCTTTGTTTTTCTTTAGCAGAACTATTAATGTGCTTGATGGATGAAGATACTTAATGGAAGTAATTTAGTTATTTTCTTTCTGTTTAGTAAAAGATTTCTACTTGGTCGGCTTTATTTTTATAATTTTGTATCAATGCACTAAGTCTAAGCACAGCTTCTTGAAAAGAAGATGGAATAGCCAGAACTTTTTTAAAAAAATAAAAGCTGGACTGTGTGCCTTAATGTGAAATGCTCACCATATTGTAAACTATCAGAAAAGCAAAATAAACTGGAATAAATGTAATATTGTATCTCATAACTTATTAAAACCATGAATGTTTGCTTCAAGAAATAAAATGTGCATGTTAAACAACTGAGATGAGTTTCTGCAATAATTAGTTTTGCCCTTTTAACTTAATCATGGCTTAACCTGAAATTCCCACAGGCAACTTTCAGTGGAAATTAATAGCATACGGGAGTCAGATGCTTGGCAAAGCAAATTAGTTTTAATTATGGAGCAAAATTAGCAATATATGTAAAAGCAAAAACCACGATGTTGACCACGAAGGAAGAAAAGATATGAAAATCCATGCCAAGGCAATTCCTTTTTAAGCCAACTGAAAGAGTACAAAGACAAATTTCCAATAACTCTTCATCAGGCAATATGGTTAAAAAAACAAGAGGAAAAGAAGAAAGGGAAATAAAACTTGAATTAGTTTAGAATCCTGAAATATTGTAATAGATATCTTGTTCTGCTACAAACAAAGCTCCAAAGGCCAGCCTGTATGAGTAATTCAAAGTCTGAAGTTTATACCTGGGTCAAAGATAGATAAAAGGCACTTAAGCTACAGGAACCACATAGCCTTTGGTGATGGTGCTGAGTTAATAAAAACTAAGACTATGAAACTGATCCTTTAGCTGGGAAAGCAAGCCAATCCGGATGGATGTTGGATGCTACTACTTCTGGTCTGAATTGCTGTTTGTTTGCATCATATTCAAGGAAGCCATAGTTTTGCTAGCTCTAGACAAAGATGAGAGAAAATTGCATACTGGTAACAGCTCCATACAGCTCTATATGGCATGGTGAGGTCAAACATCTACAGAAGAAAAAACATGTAACACACGGGTGTCAAACTCAAATTGCCACACTGCCATTATGTGATGTATTGCAATGCTTTTTCCTTTTGGGGAGCTGGGGTGGGTGTGGCCTGTGCGTGACCCATCTGGCCCACAGCCCACCAGTTTGACATCCATGATGTAACATTTCAACCTCTCCACATCCAAATTGATGTGTCAGATTATCAGAATTGATTGCCTTTAAAACTTAAAGACCCCATCTCTCTCCAAAGACTATCCTCATGGAGTGAACAAGACGATTTTTTTTGTACTCAAACCAAGCCCAGTGAAAATTGGCTTCATTCAAGACTGACCAGAAATTCACTTTGGATTCAACTTTTCACATGGAAATAACTATGCAGCAAGAAATTATGAGTTTGGTAGTTCATGAATGAATGCTATTTAGTGTATGATAAGTATCAGAAGAAAAGTAAAACTTTGATGGGGGTATGGCAGTGGCCTCATAACTGGATGTCCAGTTCAGCTATCTAGGGGATTGCTTCTGCACTTAAATGCTAATCATGTGTTTGATGTTTCGAATACAAAGTCAGCTTTTCACATTGGGAGTCCTAACTTTACTGAATAGCTACTAATTGTATATTTGTGCAGCATATATACCCATGATTAGCTGGTTATAGAGAAGATTTTGCATCTGCAATTCACTACTGGGTTTACTTCACACTAATCCATTGTTCAATCTTGTTTTGTTGTACAAGCCTCTATTGGTTGAATTTACACATTGTGCTAAACCATAAACTAGCATATAAATCTTAGTGGTTGACGTCACACAAAATAGCCAGAGTCAAAACCATCATGTTATATGTTAATGTATTGCTTGTCCTGTTCCGATAGCTATATGTACTGGCATGCCTGTAGCAAATTTCCTAAGACATAAACAACAGATCCTTTAGCCAGAAGGGCATCATTTTCTGCAAAAGTCTTCAAGCATCAAATACATTTATGGTAATGGGGTTGCATGAGAGCAGGTCTATTAAACCAGAATCTAAAAATTCTCATTCTTTCCTATGCTTGATCTTTGTCTTCAATAGTATACCACTGAAGTGGCATCTTCAGGGTAACAGATGCCTCAAACCCCAAACCAGGTAAACTTAAGCAGAAATAAAAGACAATCTAATTCTTTTGACTATATTAGTTTACCAGTGGAGATACTTATTTTCTGAATGAGCAAAAAGATTTTCTTCATTTTAGATCAAGAACAGGTGCTCTCCTTTTGTTCTCCAACTGCTAATCATTTACTTCCAATTTGTTTTGTTTTGCTTTGGATGACTTCAAAAACTGGATATTATAGGAAGGTAAAAGTTAATAACAGGCCTTAGTGAATTAGTGGGAGCTGTATACATGTGCATAAGGATGAATGTCATTCCACTGTTTGTTTCATCTCAGAAATTGTGTTTTCTTCCTGTAATGACTTGTGTCTACACTTTTAAAATTTTCTGCTGAGGAATCTCTAATGTTCAGGACACCATTGTGGATGGATATGGAGCATTTGACTGAGCTGAATTAAATGTGAATAGGAAATGGCAGATGGGTGTAATTGGTGAGGAGGTGTAACAACCTACTATCTACACAGAAAAAATTAAAGTGCAAAAGCATCTTAAATTGGAAAGGGGACCAAAAGCAACAAAAGGACTGTTTTTAAAAGTATTAACTTCATCAGTACAGTAAAAGGAAGAAAAAGAAAATGTATGAATCCGTTGTTTAGAATCCACTGGTAGGAAGGTAACCGTTCATAGGACAGAAATCCTCAACTTTACTATATTTTCCATCCTAAGGGAATGATTTTAAAATACATTTAAACACAACAATTGTCGCAAGGAGGGAGTGGCAACCCAAGCAAAGCAAAGAGATGGTAGAGCATATTCAGTATCATGAATGAATTTAAATCACCAATTTGTTCTGAAACCTTGAAGATGCAGATAATTATCTCACAGCAGCTTTCTGTGAAACCATGGAGGAAATGTATAAAACTAAAGAACTGGAGAAGGCCTATAAGGTGGATTGTTCCAAGCAATCAACTCCTTAAGTAGTCTAAAGCTACTTCTATTGAGATTAGCTACAATAACAAGAATCTTGCAAGACAGATTGCTGTACTCCTCCTCCTTATAGTTCACTGAATTGGGGAGATTTCTGTCTGAATCACTTCCAGATGTTATCTGGATATTCTGGACTGTGTAGCCCAAATGCCTAGGGAAAAGAGCCTGCATATGTTTGCCAAGGTAATCTTCCTTACTCTCTATAATATTGGAGTGTGTACAGAAGAGAGTAATCAACGTAATAAAGGACCTGGAACAGATAACTCATGAAAAATTATCAGAAGCATTAGGTACCTTTAACCTGGACAACAGAAGACTCGTGAGGGATATGACAGCTATCAAGTATATAAAGTGGTTTCGCATGGAAGTTGGAGTAGAACAATGAGGTGTTGTTACAAGGGACAGGACAAGAAAATATGGGCCTGAATTACAAAGAAGTAGACTTTAAGCATTAGGAAAAATATTCTCAATAATAAGTAAATCTGTTGGATGGTGTAGTTTCCCTCATGGTGAGAGTCTGATGTTAGAAGCAATATGTATGACAAAAATTATTTTTTCCTGCTTTCAATAGTGGGGGCAAGGGGATAAAAATACTCATTTCTTCTAGCCTGGCATATTTAAAATATTTGACATATTTTCTAATAGAACATGGAAAATAGATACAGCTACCATAAACTGTAGCATTCTTTTTGCCAAGCCTTGCCAAGGCACAAGACTTAATTGAAGGTTGTGGCTCAAATTCGTCACAGTTTACCTCCTGAAAACAAAACTCTCTCATTTCTTCCACGGTGTGATGAAGCCTTACCAGAAGGAAATCACCTGGTTGCTCTGGAGTCTTTTTTTTCTCTAGCCTTCTTTCTCCCCTTCTCACTCCCTACTCCCGTGTTCTTGGCTGAATTCTGGTTGGACTGGATTCATGCTTGCAAAGGGCAACCATTCAAAGGCATACTAAAGGGCAAACGAAAGATTTATCAGTTCCAGATTTGGGACGTGGTTTGGTACAGGTCTTGGAAAAGGTTTACCTATGCTACTACAAAGGAGGTTGCACTGAAAAAGCAGTTTTTTAAAAGGTTGTAAAATACAAAAAAAAACAACTGGAATGGCCCAGTTTTGTAGGGCTGAACAAGAGCCAGGGAAAAAAAACACTCTCCACGCAGGATAGTAGCCAATGCAACATTTTGCGGCTTCTGCTGACAGCCATTTACATTTTCCCTGGGTTGGTTCCAATACAACTTAAAACCAAGGATTTGCCAAGTGTATTTGCAAGGAAAACACAATTGGCAAATCCATTGCTTGCTTATGTACAATTTAAAATTAAGATCAATGGTTAAAATTGTCCTCCCCGTGTGTGTGTGTGAGAGAGAGAGAGGGGGGGGGGAGAGAGAGAACACGTTGACACACAAATGTTCAGGGAGATGCCTTTATTGTTTCACTTTGGCTTACAAATTGGATTTAAGGCCAATTCTTGCACCAAAATCAGCACTGCAGCCCTTTGGCGTTCCTCTCCTTCCATGCACAGACAGCCTTAATGCAACAATAACCTAGCAACAGTGATGGGGAAACAAGGCAAACCATTGGCCTGTAATTTGAGCCTGGCTTCACAGACCCTTTTGTGCCTGTATCCTTGGACACCAGAAGATTGAAGTGATAAGTTATACCAAGCACCTCCAACAATCCTGCACCAGTGCTTGCCTTTGCTTGCAGGCTATGAAGGGCCTGCTAACTAGCCAGGAACAGGATAGCTGGAGGGAATTGATTAACAAGGAGGTTTTCTGCAGAATCAGCTGGAAGGCAAAATATGGACGAAAATACCCCCAGCGCCCGCCCGATCATGGCATCTCCAGGCAAAAGTGTTTGCTGCCTGACATCTACTTTCCCAAGGAGGACTCAAGCTCTGGAAATCGAGAAGGAGCTCCCCAAAAGGAGGACCGGCAGGAGCCAGCAGAAGAGAAGGTCGGGCTGAGTCTTCAGGAGCCTCTTCCAGAGATGAGGGTCCCAACTCCAGAGACCACACAGCTGCTATATAAGGGCTTCTCCCATGAAGGCAAAGGAAGGCAGCAGTACCTCAAAGAGAGAATGATGAAGTCTCCTGAAGAAAAATTTTGGTACCCGGTGCTGTCTTCATGGGAATATGGTTGGCGCTTAGGTAAGCAGGGTTCCCCACTCTGATGCTCCTGACAATAAACCCAATTTATTGATGGCAATTCAGCTCTAGCTGCTAAGATTTCAAATCCCCCTTACTAAACAAAAGAGTCTTTTCCCACTTGCTTTTCCTACGACATTCCCTTCCTCTCATTTCCCACCAACTAATCAAACTTAGGCTCAACTGGAATTCAAGTAGCATTTCCCCCCATTATTCCAACAGTATCCAAGGAAGATCTCAAGATGTGTAAAATTTTGGTCAGCCACGGCTGTGGAAGGTAGTGACTTTAGGGACTGAGAACAGAGGTAACAAATAGTGGGGAAATAGTGATAGATATTAGTAACGAACACAGCAAATGTCATGTAAGTACTGCTTTCAACTGACACAACCAAGGAAAAGGAATCTCTAGGCAGTGGCCAGGACATATCTCAACATATTAAGGTGCATTTGGATGCTAGAAGAGCAGGCACCTCCTATGGCACCTTCCTCCCATTCCTTCCTCCCTGAGTTATTCCTCTTTTGCTGCCCTTTCTCTTGCACCAGCATCTGGATTTGTAAAAGTTTGTTTGGCCTTTACAGTATCTCATTGACCCTCCTTCTTTCTCCTCTTTCATGTCCACTTCACTCTCCTCTCACATGACATCTTGTCAGAACTTGAAATCTGAGGTTACCAGCACTTCACGGGGCCTGAATCAAAGGCAGCATATACATTTACCTAATAAATAAAAATATAAACTGTCCTTTGATGGAGCAGAGGAAAGAGAAACTTCTAATTTGCCTGGAGTTTTGCTACCCAAATCTGGCAGTGCCAATAAAAATTCCAGAAATCACACACATAGTTAGAGAGGGAGGGAGAGAGGAGAAGATAGACCTGACTGTATATATGTAAAAGAGAAAAGTGTAGATAGGAGGAGGAAAGAAAAAGGCTGTGTTGGTTTGCTGGAAAGGTTTGCTGCTTACTGAAGCTGAATGTAAAGGCAAAGCTGCCTCACAACATTTTGTCCAGGGACGTAAAGATAATATTTACTAAGACATTAGCTAACTTATCTAAGACATCGAAGCAAAAGATTCCATTTAAGACTAAATGCCAAAAAGAGCCCACATTCATAATCAGGCTTAGGCAGAGAATAGAACAGAACAGAATGGAACGGAACAGAGCAGAGCAGAGCAGACTTTTGGCTTCATGCAAGGAAAGCAGCAGAAGTCTTTCTTTCTCTCCCCCAAACTCCACCAGAAATGAGTCTTTGTGAGACTTGTTGCACTGGTGCAGCCTCTTGGAGCAGGATTCCTTGCAGGATCCCAAAGACTCATTTCTGGTGGAGTTTGGGGGAGAGAAAGAGAGACTTTTGCTGCTTTCCTTGCGTGTAGCCAAAAGCAGAAGAAGAAAGATATGGAAAGAAGCAGGTCAGTGGCTAGGCCAGGCACATGGGGCATGTGGGGTAAGTTCCCCCCTCCACCCTTTCCCCCCTCCCTCACTACCTCATGTTGTTCGCAATGCAAGGGATGCAAGGCTTGTGTTCCCATGGGCTATGGGGGTGGCACAGCCTTGTGTTCCCATGCAGCCTGGATTAATTGCTTTGGGGGTGACTTTTCTCTCTGGACCACCAAAATTTTCTCGCAGACCACCAGCGGTCCCTGGCCCACTGGTTGGCGACCGCTGTTCTCGTCCAACCCCCTGCTTAGGCAGGAAACCCTATACCATTTCAGACAAATGGTTGTCCAATCTCTTCTTTAAAACCTCCAGTGTTGGCGCATTTATAACTTGTGGAGGCAAGTTATTTCACTGATTTATTGTTCTAACTGTTAGGAAATTTCTCCTTAGTTCTAGGTTGCTTCTCTCCTTGATTATTTTCCATCCATTGTTTCTTGTCCTGCCCTCAGGTGCTTTGGAGAATAGCTTGACTCCCTCTTCTTCGTGGCAGTCCCTGAGATATTGGAACATTGCTATCAAACATCAGTCATTATGATAGGGACATCAGCTGCAAGGAAAACTGTTTTTGAAAAGTTGGCTGGATTACAGAAAGCTGCAGAGAATGGTCTCTGCAGGCTTGAAGACTATGTACCTATAGATATTTTCATACTTGGAAGTGCATGTAGTAAAACTTCACTCTTCATTAATGTCCTCTTCTTCTAGGATATTTTACTGACTTTCCTTGCCCTGTGGCTCCCACCAGCCTAGCCACTGGTAGCCAAAGCCCAGTTGCACTGCTATCCTCCCCCTCACACTTTCCCACTTGCTAAGACGTATGTGAGGCTGGAAGGTGTCGTGTTGGGCTTCCCAGTGTTTTTTTCAAGGGATCCACTATTAGTGAACCCACCCTCCAGAAATACCACCCTCCCAGGAGTGTCAGGACTGTCAGCAAGTGGTTGACACTGTGGGTGTAGATGTAGGCAAAGCTTCAGAAGTGAAGTGTGTCAGCAAAGATTTTTGAGATTTGTTATGATTGCAGGCAGGATTAAGATAACAGTGACTGGCCTAAAAGACGCAAAACAGAGCATGGGAAAATGCAGATGCTAAGATGTTACTTCAGGAAGTATGATGATTCTTGACTGATTTTTTTCCAGTTTTCTTTTGTCATTGAAATGGAGGCAATTGTTTTATAGAAGTATGGAGGGAAGAAAGCAAAGATCTCATTTTAGAATAAAATTAATTTCCTTCTCTGCCAAGAAATGTACATCTCCCTCACTCTGAAGAAGAAATTAATTGTTGTTGAATAATACTGTGTTGATTTTTGACCTAGTTTCCCTTTTAGATATATTGTATATTTAATATTAACTTCAGATTTAATGGACTTGTATTTTAAATAATCAGTTTTAGCATTTTGTTTTATAGGAATCCATCCTTAGTGTTAATTTAAGTCTTATGTATGGAATAGAAATTATAAACCTAGTTTTTTGCATTGGGCCTACATTCCTTAAACATACCTCAGCAAATCTTTTTCTAACTTGATAATTTCCAGAGGTTTTTGGACTATGATTTCAAGAGGTTGGCATCATAAAGGCATATAGACAAATAGAAAACAATTACTTTTCCCATGGATCAGGTCAAAGTACTAATACATTTGCTTACTTATCTTCTAAACTTTGCTTTATTGCAACTGGAGTCATTTTACTAGCTTATACGCAGAAATCAGAACAGCTCTATGTGCGGTAGTGGTGGCATTATGACCACTACTAGAGTGGCTTTATATATTGCTAAAATAAATAAAGTACTGTAAATACCGAATGTTTGTTCTTTGATCATAAAGTTAAATTGGTCTAGACGAGGGTTTCTCAATCTTACCAACTTTAAGATGACTCCAATTCCCAAAATTTCCCAGCTGGCTGGGGAATTTTGGCAGTTGAACTCCAACATCTTAAAATTACTAAGATAAGAAAATCTTGGTCTAGAACTTCCTTAAACTGATGCTCCCCAGATGTATTGAGTTTACACCTGACAGAAATCTCAGCTGGGAATTCCAGGCTTTCAAAGGGAGTCTGCCTGGAAAGCAACTGGTTGTGTAAGGAAGGTCTGGGAACCCACACATAATATCCTTCTGAAGCTCTTTTTAGCCTTGTTCAGCTTGAGATTCGCTGGCCAATTTGGCATTGCTAGGAGAAAGAATTAGGCTTGCTCAGCTAACCACTCTCTATAAATTCATTTTTAATGATGGAATCTGTATGAAGTTTCAGTATCTTCAATGGAATCGTAAGACTTAAGCATAGATCTGTTTTTCTCATGCCAGGAAGTTGCTGACATGTTTATCTTCGTCTTTTCTTGTCAGCTAATGAATCATGGCTGTTTTACAATGGAAACGGGACATTATGTCATTTAACAAGTGAATTTCTGCTCAACGTTATTCAGACAAGTTTACCATGATAACTACAGTTGCGGGCTCTACAGCTCTAAATGTAAAGATGTCTGCTTAAAAATGCAGGAAAAATGTATTGAATTTCTGCATAGCGTGATGCTGTTATAGAGGGGGGCATTGAGTCCCCCCACAAATGCTTTTTATTCTGTTCACCAACCCTTCCTTTGGTTCCTGTTCAAACAGTAAAAATCTTATGCCTTGTATAAGTTTTGTTCTTCATAGTGGCTTGTTTCGTGCCTTATTATTTTACAAGTCATATTTTGCTCAGTGGGAGCTATAGAATAGCAGATTCTTAGGCCAACCCCTAAGGGAAACCACGCCCCCTCCAGTCTGTGAACAGAACAGGTCCCTGATACCCAAAAGGTCGGGAGCCGCTGCCTTAGGCAATTCAAATGTATTCAAATTGAGCAACCAACAAAGCAGGATTCCTCTTCCTTGTCGGATAAGAGGAAACCATGGTTACTTGCTCATTGTAAGCATGCACAGATGTCTGTACTGGAGCTTTGAGAAGGACAGGCCATCACTCTTTGCAGCTATAGGTGGTGATCTCACAAGCAATCAGTTTTTCAGGGCAAATAATTCCCTGATGCGGATTTCATCACGTCAGGAAATGAATGACATGTCTATTGTTCTCTTGCCTTATCAGATGATGAATTGTGTTTGTTGTGCAGATGGATCTGAACTTGACGTCATTTGGCAGTTGAATTCTGTTAAAAATTGTTCTAGCAAGTTTACCTTTCCAAGGAAGCTGTGGCTAGGGCATTACGATATGTCCAGATGTGATGGTTGATGCTTTCTGTTCAAACATACCTCAGCAAACATTAAGAAGAAACTGCTCCTCCCTCTCCCAGTCCATCCCCCCCTACTCATCTCTATCTATTTATCATCTATCTATCATCTATCAAATGGCGTAGGGTCACCTGCTTGGGCGGGTTGGATTACATAACCTACAAGGTCCCTTCCAATTCTCTCTCTCTCTCTTATCTATTTATTTACTGTTGCTTGTTGCTATACCAAAAGGCATCATTGTGTATAAGTTAATGCATAACAAAATAAAACAGCAAGCTTCTGAATCCTGCCAAGCAATTAGATCATCCTTGCCTAGTAGGTGTGGGATTAAATGCTAATTTCTATTTGTTTTCCAGTGTACCTTCTGATGACAATTGGTTAGATTATGGTGCCTGCCACCTTGCTGATATTAAGCCCTGCTCCTCCCTTGCTGCCTGGGAATACCCATAATGTGGTATTTGCGGGTTCTGGCTTCTTTCATTGGAATGGCTACAGCAGTATTGCACATGTAAAAAAGGAGGAAGGGTCTTCCAATGCAATGCCATAATGCTGCTTCTTTAGGTTTGATTCCCTCGGCCTCCCCAGCCACATGGACAGACGCTAACCTTAAAGAAGACTGACACTGTATACAATGATAACAACAAAACACATTGATACCTTTTTATTCTGTTTTGAAGGGCTTGCTTTTCCTTTTAATATTCACAGGCCCATCTTGTTTTTAATTTTAAAAAGAGTAAAGCAGAGGTGGGAATTCTACTAGTTCGCATCTATTCGCTAGAACTGGTTGTTAACTTTCTAAGCAGTTTGGAAACCAGTTGTTAGAAGAAATCTTTTGGTTTTTTCCACTTTACAGGCCCAATCCTGTAAGGAAAGCATTCCTTACACTCTGGAGTTGCTTACAAAAACTGGCTCTCTGTTAATCCTTATTACATTCTTGGCAGGACTAGACTTCCTGTCTCCGGAGCTTCTCTAGAGTTTTTTTTTTTCTCCTTTGCTGGTACTTTGCTTGCATGGAGCCTGAAATTGACATATGTGTAGTCATTTCACTTGGAAACCTGACAGCTTGACTTTCTTAAAGGGGAAGGATTGTTTTAAATTTTTTACACTGTTGTTGGGAGGAAATACTCCTTTGCTGGAGTTAGAAGAAATAATTGAATAATGAAGCAGAGCTGCCAGAAAGAAGCTTTTAATGACAAGGAACCAAGATGAGTGACTTTCAGCAAGGATTCTTTGCTAGCTAGAAAGACTGACATTCAAATGTGAGTTTACATATCCTTCCTGAATTTTGGTCTAACGCTGGTTTTTGGTGAAGTTTAATTCTGTCCTTGGTGACATTTAATCCTATGTTTATTGATGGGATAATTTTCCCTATTCAGCTTTGTTTGGAAGGAAAAAGATTAATCTCTGTTCCTGAAAATAAACTGGGTTGAGAAATCTGGCTAGTTCCTGTGTCTATTTGTTCTGATAATTGGTTTAACAAGCAACAGCTACTGTTGTGGTTTAATTATTTGTTTTGTGTTTGAATTTTTTCCTGCCTCGAGTTTTTTTATCTGGGGAGGGGGTCTTCTTTCACTGCTTTAGTGGTATCTGGCACTGTCCTTTTGGAGTGTACTTTCAAGAGGCAGGATGCAAGCTTGGCACTGATTTTTTTTATTGCCTTTCTGGGGGACATGTGACCTTTCCTTAAATCTGGATGATTTCCTTAGGATATCTTGTGAGATGAGTGAGACCAGTTAGTATCTTTAAGTGGTGCAAATGGTTCTAAGGATTGCTTTTCCTGAGTGTGCTCTTTCTGGAGAGCTTAAATGACCTCTGGGTTTCACTTTATGAGCAAGAGTTGGCTGCTGATAGTTATCATTGCATTTTAACTATTTTAATTCCTCAAGGTAACTCTGGCTTGCAGGTATTTTTAATCATTGGTATTTAGGGCAGGTTTTTGCAAACAAAGAAGCTTTTTGTATTTTTGTATAGGTAATCCTTGACTTTCAACAGTTCATTTAGTAACCATTCAAAGTTACAATGGCACTGAAAAAAGTGACTTATGACTGTTTTTCACACTTACAACCAGAGGTGGAATTCAAAATTTTAAGCAACTGGTTCTGTGGGCGTGGCTTATGTAGTGGGCATGGCTTGGTGGTCATGTGACTAGGTGGTCATGTTATTGGCTGGGTGTGGCCAACTCAATATCACTCACATCGAGGCATGCATCTCCTCGCCTGGCCTCTCATCACTGTGGGGATGTGTGCCATTGTAACTTTTAATGGTCACTCCACACAAGCAAAGTACCAGCAAAGGAGGGGGAAAAAACTCCAGAGAAGTTCCTGAGACATAAGAATGTAATAAGGGTTTTACAGAGAGGCAGTTTCTGTAAGCAACACCAGAATGTTTCCTTCCTGACTTCCTGACAGGATTAGGCCAGTAATTTCTTCTAACAACCAGTTCTCCAAACTGCTTAGAATGTTAACAACTGGTTCTAGCAAATAGGTGCGAACTGGTAGAATCCCACCCCTGCTTACAACCATTGCAGCATCCCCACAGTCACGAGAGGCCAGGCAAGGAGAAGCGCTCTTTGATGTGAGTGATAGTAGAATTGGCCATGGCCATCCAGTCACATGACCACAAAGCCACTCCCACCAACTAAGCCATGCCCACAGAACTGCTTGTTAAAAAATTTGAATCCCACCCTGGATTAAAGTATTAACTACAACTACCCCTATTTGACTAGTTAATATATCTCAACTTCACCTTTATTTCAGGAGACACCATTAAGGACATCAGGACACCAGTTCATGGAAAATCTTGCATTGTAAAGGATACTTTCTACTTCAAAAATGGGATCTTCTACACTCCATCCAAAACTGACAAATTAGCATGAATACTGGCTGAAAAAAAGAAAAGAAATGTTCACTATGTTGTTATATGAGTGCTTATTGCGATATTAAATCAGAAGCCCTGCATGACCTGGATCCAGATTTAATCATACTTAGAGTCAACCTATTTAAACCAGCAAGGTCTAAATGAATGGTGGTTAAAGTTTCACTGATTTCAATGACTCTGTCTTAAGTTTGATCATATGCAGATCCAACTCTCATTGCCTCTATTCACAATTTCTATTAGCCTCTTTGTTATGTGCAAATGTGTCTATACAACGGATTCGTTGTCATACACATGCACATATACTCCACACACACATATATTTTATGCAAAATATAAAGAGAGACACCCGAGGGGGGGGGGAATTCCACACCATTCAAGCTATAGAAGTAAAAGAGCTGAATCTTTTATACTTTCATTAGTGTCTTAAACTAGAGATAGTCTATTCAGTTTTAGAGCTCAGCATTCTATAGAAAATAGAGGGTATTTTTTATTTTAAAAATATCTTGAATGTATGAAGGAACAAAGAAATGAATCAATAAAAAATATGCACAGCAAACCCCCTCCCCCAATAATGAGTTTTTCAGTTGCAGTTTCCATTGACTTTATGAAACTAGGGAATCATTGTCAATGTCAGGATAATGTCAGGATTATGTGCTGCAAGTTGACTAGGCAATCATTTACAAAGGAAAGGAAAGAGCTTCAATCATCCAGAGTCCAGTCCCCATCAGAGCCAAAAGAGGTCTGGGGTGGGTGGATGGGTGAAGAAGTCAGAAAAGAAACTGAAAGATCTGAATTGGCAGAACCAGTTGAAGCCACAAGGCTGTTTCAGGCTCTTCGGATTGGTTTGATTTATTTTTATTTAGCGTATGGCAAATACATGGAATTATAGTGGTTCAAATGTTCATGCCCAGTCCACCCAGCCATTCAAGGACAGGGTGATATATGTTGGAAAAAACCCCCAGACATTTGGATTTGTTCATATATTTGAATAGCCAGCCTCATATCGAAGGAACAAGTAAGAGACATTAGAGAATACTTTATTGGCCAAGTGTGATTGGACACACAAGGAATTTGTCTTGGTGTAAATACTCTCAGTATAAATAAAGAAAAGGTACATACATTAAGAATCAAGAATCAACATACAACACTTAATGATAGTCATAGGGTACAATCAACAATCAAATCATACTAGGAAACAGTCAATATAAATTGTAAGGATACAAGCAACAAAGTTACAGTCCTACAATCACAAGTGGGAGGGGATGGGTGATAAGGAGTGATGAGAAGATTAACAGTAATAGTCGTGTACACTTTGTAAATAGTTGAACAGTGTTGAGGGAATTATTTGTTTAGCAGAGTGATGGCTTTCGGGAAAAAAACTGTTCTTGTGTCTAGTTGTTCTGGTGTGCAGTGCTCTACAGCATCATTTTGAGGGAAGGGGTTGAAACAGTTTATGTCCGGGATGTGAGGGGTCTGTAAATATTTTCACAGCCCTCTTTTTGACTTGTGCAATTGAAGGCGGGTGGGTAGTAATTGTTTTTTCTGCAGTCCTAATTATCCTCTGAAGTCTGTGTCTGTCCTGTTGGGTTGAAGAACCAAACCAGACAGTTATAGAGGTGCAGATGATAGACTCAATAATTCCTCTATAGAACTGTATTAGCAGCTCCTTGGGCAGTTTGAGCTTTCTGAGTTGGTGCAGAAAGAACATTCTTTGTTGTGCTTTTTTGATTACATTTTTGAAGTTAGGTGTCCATTTTAGGTCATGTGATATAGTAGAACCTAGAAATTTGAAGGTCTCTACTGTTGATACTGTGTTGTCTAGTATTGTAACAAGTGGTAGTATGGGAGGGTTTCTTCTAAAGCCTACCACCATTTCTACGGTTTTGAGTGTGTTCAGTTCCAGATTGTTCCGGTTACACCATGAGGCAAGTTGTATAACTTCCTGTCTATATGCAGATTCATTGTTGTCTCGAATGAGACCAATCACTGTTGTGTCATCAGCAAACTTCAGTATTTTAACAGATGGATCGTTTGAGATGCAGTCATTGGTATATAGGGAGAAGAGAAGTGGAGATTGCACACAGCCTTGGGGGGGCCCTGTGTTGATTGTACAGGTATCAGATGTGATTCTGCCTAGCTTCACCTGCTGCTTCCTGTCTGTTAGGAAGCTTATGATCCACTTACAAGTGTGTTCAGGTACTGCTAGTTGGTTTAATTTACTTAGAAGAGTGTCTGGAATGATGGTATTGAATGCTGAACTGAAGTCTACAAAGAGGACCCTTGAGTAGGTATTTGGAGATTCAAGGTGTTGTAGGATGTAATGCGGAGCCATGTTAACAGCATCATCTGTCGATCTATTTGCTCAGTATGCAAACTGCATGGGATCTAACAGTGGATCCGTGATGGTTTTCATGTGGGACAGCACAAGTCTTTCAAAGATTTTCATAACTATAGATGTTAGAGCAACTGGTCTGTAGTCATTCAGTTCCTTGATGGAGGGCTTCTTGGGCACTGGGATGATGGTAGAACATTTGAAGCAGGAAGGAACATAGCACATCTCCAGTGATCTATTGAAGATTCGGGTAAAGATGGGGGCCAATTGGTCAGAACAGACTTTTAAGCAAGAAGGAGTTATCTTGTCTGGCCCTGATGCTTTCCCTGGCTTTTGTCTGTGTAGTAGATCTTGCACTTCTTTTTCTGTGATCACCAGAGGTTGTGAACCCAATGGATTGGGGCCGGTTGTAGGAGGCTTGGCTGTTGTTGGGTTGTGGAGATAGGTGGCTGTAGTTTCTTTTCAAACCTGCAGTAAAACACATTCAGGTCATCGGCTAGTTGTTGATTTCCTTCTGCCTGGGAAGGAGGGTTGCTGAAGCCAGTGATGTTTTTAGGTTGGATATGGTCTTTGATTTTCACTATTTTTACTGTAAAAAAAAACTGCCACTACTTTGCGAGATGAAATTAAAAGATTGTAGATGAGGCCTCAGAGGATTTCTGTCCAATGCTCAGAGTAGGTTCAGAGGGAACTGAAAGATGATCTGTAAACGACTTGAGCTCACCTCTATGAGCCCAGAGGTCAAGAGGTGAAAGGCCTAAGCAAGCTGGAGATTGAACCTTGGGTGACATAGAAAGTGGTTTTCAGATGTGCCTTTCCCTGCTCTGGGGAAGAAATGAGACACCCTTTGTTCTGAACTGATGGTCCCCTGTGGATCCCAGCTGCTTCGTTCAAGACAGGGGATCAAAAGGCCTGTTGTTGCCACCACACGAGAATGTGAGAGGGAAAGCAAACAAGCGTTTATGTTTGCCTCATGGGTGCTCATGTTTTGCAAAGGGCACCAAACAGGTAGGCTTGGCAAAGCTGTCTCCACACTTAGCAGGTATAATTTACAGGAAACCTGAGAATCTCTCACTCAGAAGGTGCTTCCTGAAGCCAAGAAAAATGCACTGCAGCCATCAGCTTATTACCATTGTTGCATCTATGCTTGTCTTCTCCAGTTTTTCTCACCATCTGACTTTAAAATGCAGCTGATTATAATTTTATTTTTATTAAATTTGTTTTTACTTGAAGAGGCCCAATGTGTCAGTGCGCCACTGAGATTGATGGAATAGAACAAACTATCTTAAGGCAAATTATAAAAGCAAATGAATTCATTTTTCATTGGTAAGTAGGTTGCATTCATAGGTTTCATAGTTATAGGTTTTGTGTTATGACTTGCTTGAAAGACAATGGTAATGTGAAATATATTTTACTGTGTGATTTATTGCACAAAGAATGTTGTCCAAGGTGCTGCAGAGTGATAAAGGATGCCAGTCTCAGTGCACAACCTGATACACTGAGAATGCTTTTTCTGGTGTGGTTAAATCAATGTCTATTTTATGACTCAGCATGTGCTAGTTGTGTGGAGCTGAAACTCCCATTTGTTGTTCCAGTGTTGGTCGTTTTGTTGTTCTTTAGCTCTGACTCTTTTCTGCACTTCTCTTCTTAGTTTGGCTCAGAGCCCATTTAAGGAGCTTGGAAAGTTATATTTTCCTAAGGGTGCATGGATGATTAGTTTAACTAATCTGCACCTCCTGTCACTCTTGCTAGACAAGGAATTGGCAGCAAATCTCCAACTCCACACAACTAAATTTGGCTTCTAGACTCAGACTTGGCCACAATGGGATAAAAATCTTGAGTGCAGATTAGAATGTGTCTTATTAAATAGCTGATCGGCCTTTGTCCCCATGAGACTGCACTTCCTTCATGGCTGTTCAGATCTGATATTTCTTCTTCCTACTTTCCCCAAATTTTAACAGACTCTTTTCTTTGTGCATCCTGGCCAAGTGGCATGTTGTTTCCTGACCTGGTATTTCTGCTGTCAGGATGAAGGGCTTCTGGCTCACCAGCTACTCATGCTGTGATTCTTCTAGAGTTAAGTGGTGGTAACTTAAGTCAAGTAATTTGGGAGCAATTTTGCTTCTATAAAAGGATGAGTCATTCCAATTCTTCAGAGTAAGGTTGATGAGAACAATGATGTAGATTAAGATAAAAATCTATAAGCTTCCAGATGGAATTTCATCCGGCCTTCTAAGTGATGTATTCTAGGCAAGTTTCTGCCGAAGGTAAGCAAAAGAAGACACGAGTCTCGGAGAATTTTGGACTGTATCTCCACTCCAACCTGTCTTGAGAGAGCTCGAGATCTCAATATCTCAACTCCTACTGTCTTACGAAAGTTGCTTGTTTCCCATCCTGTGTGCTTGTAGCAATATCTTGCCTGATTAAAAGACTCTGAGAATTTAATGCATAGAGGGTTTTTTTTTTTCCCAGTGGCTCCTAATAATGGTATCAGACAACTGTGGCAAAGAGAGTATTCAGCAGACCAGCTCCACACTGTGTGGGTAGATTTTATTGTATATTCAAGAGAATGGACTTGTTTGAGCTGTTAACTCATGAGAGGACATAATGAGGAGATAACTGTTAAGAGAAACTTCTTGCTTTAGAAAATGTTCTTCAATCTACTCCAGAAAAGG